TCTTGACGCAACCTTATATTTTCATTGTTTATATTATTTTCGACCGATTACTAATATCTAAACTACGTCAAGCAACAGCCATGCCAATGTGTAATTCTCTTGGACTATTTGTACATGGAAATTTCAACATAATTTTAGTTTAAATGTAGGAATCGTAGAAGATTATCTTATTGGCCCGTTTATTCTTCCTCGGCGTCTCGGCGGAACGGAATATTTGAGATTTTTAAATGAGCAACTCCCAATATTGCTTGAAGACGTGCCACTATCTATCCGTGAACACATGTGATACACACATGACGGAACTCCTGCTCATGGTACATTAGCTGTTAGACAATGGTTAAATTTAAATATTCCTGGGAGATGGATACTTCGAGGGAACGATGCACCAGTCAAATGGCCTGCGCGATCACTGGATCTCACACCCATGGACTATTTTTATGGGTCACTTAAAAAATGTTATTTATTCCAACCCCATTGATAGTGTGGACACGCTTCGTCAAAGAATTTTTGTAGCAGCTGAGGAAGTAAAGAATGACATACATATTTTTTCAAGAGTTCGTTGTAATTTTAATCGTAGAATTAGACAATGCTTACAGGAAAATGGAAATTACTTCAAAAATATCTTTTAAAAAACTTGTTTTTTTTTATTGTCAGCCAATTATTTCTCTTAAATTATCTATTAATATTGACTGTTAAGTGACTCTTGGTTTTAGTTGTTTTGCTCTTTTTTCTAATAGTTATTATTAAAGTATCAATAAATAGGTAAGTATTTTGCAATATTTTTTCACCTGAACTGTTATTTCATATGAGATTTCTTTAATGCAGAGTGTAAATAATTTCACATGCACAAGAAAATGTGTTTTTTAATAAAGACACCGAAAAAACAAATAAATAGAAATTATGTAATAAGTGTATTCACACATGCAAATAATACGCAAAAATAGTAAAGTAAATTTAAACAGGAAAAATAATGTTGTCTCAGTTGATTTCTGCGCGCCCTTTTGGTCGAGTTTTAAAACACAGATCCACAACTAATAATTACTGTGAGGCAATGCGTTCTGAATTTATTAACAAAAGTGTCTGTTTATACCTTGGTATTCGTGGAGGTATAAATCCGTAACACTAATTTATGAAATTAAAAATATCTGCTGAACGGTTGGCTTTAGCCATTTTCAATAAGTATATCTTTTTTGTTCAAAAAAGTCCAATATTTCATATTTTGTCACTAAAAGCGGTATACGGGGGTTGGCAAAAAAGTTATTACATATTCAATGCAAAACGTTGCCTGCAGAGGGCGCCTCGTACTCGATACTCAAAAATCATTATTTGATTATTTTTCCCATCATTAAAAAACCTCTCTGTTGAAAATTTGAAATATTTCTGACTAAATATATAGAAATTATTAAGAAAAAACAATTTTTAATTTTTCACTTTGACACCCTGTATCTTTTTTATTATGCGACTTGGGATATAGGTATGTTAAGTTAAATCGACTTATTTTCACCGAAGGAATCTCTGGTATCATTTGTGCCCCTCCATTTAAATACATCCTGTATAGTATAGTCTATATAATATAATGTGGTATATGGTGTATGGTACACAGTATTGGAAAACTGAAAAAAAAATTGTTTTAAAAACTAATTTAGATCCAATATGAAAACAGTAAGCAGAAGAAGCCACTAATCCTTCTGATTGTCATAATTTGATAAAATACAGTGCTTTCGAAAAGTAACGAATAAATTCATTATTTTTTAAATTGAGAAGTTTTCGAAAGAATCTCCTGGCATGTCGATTTTGTTTTTAAAAAAGGCACTTTTTGACATACGACCCATATTTGTGACGTCATCGTTGTTCGAGATATGACGTCATCGACAATTTTTTTAAATAGCAACCCCCAATTTTGACCATGCCATTTGAAAGAGCGATAAATTTCAAGAAAATAATGTTTGAAGATTTTAAAATTTAATTTTCACAATACTGAAAATGATAATGATTATGTAAAAATCGACTAAATTAAATGTTCAAATTGTGCACCGCTGGCTGCCTGACAGGAGCCAAGACGATTAATAAATTCTTTTTGGACATTATCAATAACTTCAGGAGGTATACGAAGTATCTCGTGACAAATTCTTGCTTTTAAATCTTCTAAATTAACCGGTTTAGTAACGTATACTTTGCTTTTTAAGTATCCCCACAAGAAATAATCTAAGGGTGTCAAATCAGGCGATCTGGCTGGCCAATCAAACGGCCCCCTTCTCCCTATCCAACGATTCGGAAACAGCTCATCTAAATAAGCACGGACAGGTGTTGCATAATGGGGAGGTGCACCATTTAGTCGATTTTTACATAATCATTATCAATTTCAGCTACTAACTATAGTAAACACAACCGTACATAGGTATATACATTACTTTTTTCCAAGGACTACAGTTTGAACCAGCCACAACTAAAAATAAAAAATCTTCTCCTAAACATGTTGGTTGGTTATTGAAAAAATGTGTTCTGACTTCCTCGCGACGACCAGTGGAAAAGGACTGAAAACAAAAACAAAACTCGAACAAAATGTAGCCCGCTTGATGGAAACAAGAGTTTTGTTTTTATTTCAGTTTTGTTTTTGTTTTTCAGGTTTTAGAAAACACAAACACAACATAAACTCAACTATCCGTTTAGTGGAAAACCGTAATAACACTACAACGAAAATAAAACACATTCTAACACATAAAGTGTGAATTAGTGTTTCATATATTCATTTAGTAATATGGTAAATTAAACTTTCTCTGGCGCTTAATGTTTAATAGAAAGTATATCTTGCAAATAACAGGAAAGGCTAAGGTATGTAGAATTTTTATTCTAAATTCTCTAAAAGACCCCGCACGGTACTTTTGAAAATGTGGGCTCGGCTAAATTGGCTGAAACTGTGGTAAGTTCTTAGTTTTGTGTTATTGATCCAGTTCTTGGGTACGAAAATCAATTATTTTCTACTTATAGCGGTCCGAGTCAGTTGTCAGTTCTGCTGATGATGACTGCAAAGTAGTATGAGTAGAATATCGCAATAAAATTGTGAAATGTTTATAGAAAAAATTAATCGGATGACTTCGAAAAGTTGTTAATTAATATTTTTGACATTTTTTCTATTCTAAAAGTTATTTTGATGTAGAATTGTTTTGCAGTTAATTTCCATACCAATACATGTTGAAGACTTACAACTGATGTAACAATGAGCCAAAACACATAACATGTAAAAATACAGGCAAAAATATTGTAATAAACTTCGGAGTTTCGGAGGCTGGTAATACCTGATATGTAAACTATGTTATAAGGGAGCTGCAGCCAGTAGTAGTATTAAAAAATTTAATTTTATTTCATCATAGCTGTTAACAAAATGTTTCAATAAAAATTTTCAAATCAATGTTAAAATGTTATGGCCTTGAAATAAAATTTATACACGATTCAGGGTTAGTTTAGGAATTTAAGAAAGAAGTAATTTCGATCATAATTTGTTCATCTCAAATCGATGTTCTAGATATTTGTATAAAAATGTATTAATGTATTAAGGCATAGAAAAAAATGGCGATATCTCCAAAAAGACAAAAGTTGTCGGATTGCTATAAGTGCCTTTTATACTTGGAACCAAATAATCGGCAGGCACTACCGATTGCTTCTCGAAGTAATGTTAAAACACATATGTAGACAAAACAGACTGAACTGTAGAGGCAAGCCGGTGAAGCCAACCGTCAGCCCATCCTCAGCCTAGCCAGCCTGACAATTTAATAGAAATAATAATATATTTGTTTAATAACTTCTACAAAAATTACACCCAAGCTACAGAAAAATAAAATTGTGTATCCTGTATTAAAACAATTTTTGAATGTGAACTTATTTAAAAAATATAGATAAGAACTTGTGAGGACTATATGTGAAAAGTATATCGATGTGATAATAAATCATGAAGTAAAAATATTACAACACTTTTGACAGTCATTTCAAAATTTAGTTCTTTTTTAAGGGACAGAATAAATTATTTTAAGTAAAACGTAGCGTGAACGTGGGTCATATCCGTGACGTTGAAATTACACTTTTATAAATCAATAGTGATGGAAGACAAATTGTTTAATTCAAGATGAATGTAGATAAATATATTCTTGATTCAAGAATTGTTTTTTTAGTGTAGGTAGATAATTTTATTTTTTAGATAAATGTTAATTACTAGTTTGCCTATAAAGTTAAATCCTTTAAGACATCTAGATATTTATCATCAAAAACCAAAGAACATCCATTATATTACTTAATTTGATAACATTTTTATGAAAATTTTTAGAATTGATTAAATTTATCTCAATACTTTTAGATGTCATCCAGTCAGTGCGCAATGATGTTATTAGAATTTGCTTACTTGGATACAGAAAAAAATCTTTCGTTTACTTACGTAAATGTACGAGTGTAGTACTTACATTGTATTCATATTTATAAAAAAAGATTTTGTAAATAATATAGTTTTTCTTAAATTTAGTTGTGCAATTTTAAAGCTATATTTTGTACACAAACTTAATCTAGATCATCCACAGAGCGATACCTTTTTGGGCTTACTAGGAACTGCATAAGTAATCCCTTTACTTTGTTTTTAACAAATCGCATGGATAAATAAAAGAACTTCTAATTTGAACCGGTCCGATTCCAAAATTTTTTAACAGATATGACATTTGAATTTTTAATTTTCATGTAAGTTGCTAGATTTGTACATACCTACCTAAATATTTAAATAGTAACGGCTTAACAATAGTTTAAGACAAAACTTATACTAGGTATGTACATACATACCTATGTATGATTAAAGAACCATATAAAATTAATATGCCTTGTTACTGTTACAGTGCAGTGTGAGCGTACTGAATTACATAACGTTAATTTTTATTCTTTTATGAAGGAAAGCCAGTAGGCCATGTCATGAGTATTCAACCAAGGCCCACCTTGAAACGATTCACTTGTTACCCACCGGCCGGTAGTGCAGTTCGTTGTTAGTTGTTGGAGAGTAGTTATGAGTGCGGTTCGTCAGTGTATACTATACACAGTTGCCGTTTAGTTACATGTGTTAAAGAAGTATTCTCAATACACAAACTATATAAGTAAAAATATTTCGTTTTGTCCACTGTGAATTGGATTATATGTTCTTCAATCGAGGAAATTTAAACCACTAAACATATGTAAGTATAGATAGATGACCGTGTAATTATTAGTTGATTTACCGTTTCCTTTGTTTATTTGATAGCTAGTAGGCCTACTTAAAGAAAATGCTTACAGTACCGCGAAGCTTATAAACTTACTAAATTGTAATGAGGTCGTATAGGTATCTAAATGTTTTATTAACATCTAGGTACCTATATCTATTTATATTGGCAAGAAGTACATTTTCCTCATATGTATTAACATTAACGTAACGTAATCATCTATCACTTAAAAATAAAATATAATAAATGTACTTATGCCTAATTAAATCTGCGTAGTGTCTAGGTGGGTATAAGGTCAAGGAATAAAATTGTATTATTTATTAGATGCTCGATTCCACAGCTACCTATTTTTTAAAAATCAGTATCTTACTAAATATTTTAGATATTAGTTTTTAATAATATTTGAATAACTTGATTTTCTTGTCCTGCTCATATGTTTATAATATGTTTAACGTAATTTATATTATTCATGCTAAATTATAACTTTAGTTCTACATTTTAGTCATTAAATTTTTTAGATCTAATAAGTATACTTATATCTATATCTACATACCTATATCATTTCTTAATTTTAAAAATAAGAACCTATTAATTACAAGTGTTTTTTGTTTGTATCCATGTTTCGATGTATACCGACCGAGATACCTACCTATTATTTTACACTCTTACTTCATTTATAAAATAACATTTTTTTTAATACCTGAAGTGACCAGCCTCCCGATTTAGTCGCAACAGTTTTAAGATTTTGAAAAAGATAAATATTCTGAAACGTCCCAGTTTTAAAATATTTATTATTATTTATTTATTTTTTTAATGTACACAATATACCAATTCAAGGTAGATATTTTTAATTTTTGGAATTAAATATTTATTATCAATATCGTTCTTATAGATAAATGGATTATTTTACCAAAAATTCCATGGACATTCCATAGTGAAGTTATTTTAAAGAATGTGTTTTTGACAGTGCACATTTATTGTACATTTTTTCTAAACGTTTTCAGAATCATGTTGTTAGGAGACATTTTGCTTAAAATTTCCTACTTCCTATTTCAGTTTGGCATCATATTTTGCAAACATCCTGTACAATATTTTATATAAGTTTACAATGTTACACATGTTTGTACATGTTAGCAGTACCTACCTACGTTACAAAAAAATATTATCAAAAATTATCAATATACAGCGCATATTTAAGGGGGTGATTCTACGTGGCAAATTAATGATAATTTGCTTTATAAACTATTGTCTAAAAATGTTCCGTATTTTCATACAGGATGAAATTTTAGGAAAAAGAAGGAAATTAATTAATATTTTCGAAACCGCTTGAGATATTTCAGTGATATTTAGTACATAGTGATAGTTAATAATTCTGATTTATCATAATTAGTTACAAAAAGGTCAACAACTTATTTATGATGGTACTCAATATGGATTAATCTTTAAATCAATTTCATTTTTTTTTCGATGTATTCAATAGGTAAAATATCATCATCGAGCCTTAAAACAACTAGTTACATTTACTTTATTACCCGAAAAAGATATAATAAAATCTTGCTCTAAAAGACGTTTATAAGGAACAGTCTATTCGGGACCACATACATTAAAATATCAAATAATATTGTTGAATTCAATTTGGAAAACAATAAAAACTACAAATAGAAATATTTTCATCTTAATCTGATTTACCCCCTGAAAAGTTTTATTCGGTACATCTAAAAAGGCAAAATCATACATGTTTACCATGTCCTAATTTATCAATATTAATATAGCACTTCCTGAATCTATGATTGAATCTACATAAGTTGAAACAACCTTTTTGGCAGCATGTATGTACATTGTAACGTAACATTTCGGCCCAATAAAAGAGTATCTTTCTTCGCCTTAACTGATGTTAAAAAATTTTTTGGGTAGTCTTTTTCTGGTCAACCGCACACGTAGCATGAGCCTTTTGATCTTAGTGGCTTGCTACGCCTTAATATTGGATGTCCCATTTCGTTACAATTGGAACAACGTGGTCCAAACAATTTGGTTTTGTGAACTCGAACTAATTTTCATTCCAGTTTAGCAGTGCTCGAAATGTCCCGCGCAACAGGAATCGAGTTACTTTTGAGGCTGCGTAACATTAGCTAGCTTGGTAGACGGAAAACATAAATGACCAAGGCATTATACGTTATTATTTCTAGAACATTACAAGATTTTTTGTAATATTTTATCGTGAACGAAGAGAGAATGAAAAATGTTTTGTGATTGACGTGTCAAATAAATTTATTATGCGGTCATCTTATGCTATTGACCTTAAAAGTTTACGTATTGTGTCGTTATGTAAAAATTAATAATTGTGATAAAATAATTTAGTCAATCTAAAAAATATAGTTCCAATATTTCGAACGCAGGTCAATAAAATTGTGGTTGCCTAAATATCATGGACACGATAGGGCTCATTCATTATTAGAGTCGAACATCTAAAAGGTTAAAAGAACTGACGAAGTGCAATAGAAAAATGAACATCCACCGACGAATAAATATTCTACATACCTACCTAATCAGGAAAATCGCATCTTAATTCTCCCAGTAGAATTCAAGTTATAACAGGCAAAAAATTGTTTTTCTGGTCTGGAGGTCAGATTATGTCCACCACATGTTTTCGAGATCGCTTAATCCGAATCCGTAATCCATTTAACCCCATCATGTCAAGTTTTACCGATAACCCCATATAATCTCATAACCCAAGTTGTCAAGTCCTATTACACACAGCGATCCTGTAAAGAAAACTGTAAACCTACAATAACCCTATAACCATATAATCCTATAATCCCATAACCGATAACTCCAATAACCACGTTACTCACAATTAGTAGTTTGACTTGCTCTCTCATCGAGGGACATATCAGGGCTCTATAAACATAATATATTTAACTCTATTATCTCCCAATCCCCTAACCACATAACCCTATAACCCCATAACCCCATAACTTCAAAAACCATGTTACGCAGGAGTTCGATTGTTTGATGCAAGGAACATAGCGTCTATGTTCCTTATGTTGTCCTATGTTCCTATGTTATTGGCTCCCTGGATCATGGCTTTATACCGTCATGGCAGGCACAGGTGGAAGACGTACGAGATAGAGTTTCAGATGCCCAGAATTGACAGCTAGTCAGGGTGCGAAAGCAGGCCCCGCGTAATAATAAAAGCTTCGTTTAGCATGATATTTTTGAAATTGACGGAGAGTCTACTGGAGATGATGAAACTGGGAGCCAATAACTTACTGGTGCCAATAGCGATATAGACTATGCTTTTTGCATCAAACAATCAAACTACTGCGTGCGGTTATTGGAATTATGGGGTTATGGGGTTGGGGGATTATAGGGTTAAATATATTCTGTTTATAGAGCCCTGAGAGATGAGAGATCATGTCGAACTATGAAAAACGTTGTTATTGGAGTTATAGGTATGGAGTTACGGGATTATACGGTTATGGGGTTAGGAGGTTGATTATAGGGTTATTGTGGGTGTACAACGTCCTTTATAGGATCATTGTGTAATAGGACTTGACAGCTTAGGTTATGAGGGTATATGGGTTTATTGATAAAACCTGATGTGATGAGATTGAATGGATTCGGATTCAGCGACCCCATAACCATGTAATAAACAGAGTCTGACCTCCAGAGTCAAAAAACATTTTTTTCTGTGGCTGTGTTATTGTCCTATTTTTTTTGTGCTACACACATTTGAAGTTAGAGCTCAATACGTTTTGCTGCGATAGTAGTTTTGATGTCTATAGTCACAGGTGCTCCGCACCCACTATTTATTTTTCGTGGGTCTGGAGCTCCGGAGCACCCAGGTCGGCGCGGCGCCCGTGAATATACATTACAACTTCTAGAAGCTAACAATTTTTATACTGCGGCCATATACAGTGTAGGAAAGTACCGATGGTCTATTAGAAGTTACGTGAGAGCGATAAAGTAAGCCATAGAAATCCATGTGATAGACAAGGATGGCTATAATGAAGGCGTCTAATAGTCAACGCCCATTTCGCCCTTCCACAAATAAGAAGTGGATCTTATTTGTGGAAGGGCGAAACGGGCGGTGACAAAGAGAAGCCTTCATTATAGCCATCCTTCTCTATCGCATGGATTTCTATGGCTTACTTTATCGCTCTCACGTAACTTCAGATAGACCATCGGTACTTTCCTACCCTGTATGTCGATTTGTGCTCATACAAAGACACAATAAAAATTGAAAAGAGGCAAATAATAATAATGGCTGAAAAGTTATACTTGGTTCAACTTCTTGCCGAAATAACCGGGAAAAAATAATTTTCTATCACGCGCGATCGCTATGGGACCTATAGTGTAGGGGGTGAGTCAACGTTGGAGCGTTGCGCTATGAAAATAACATCACGCTGTTGTACTATCTAGCACTTTCCGTGCACCTAACCCCCTATGCTATAGGTCCCATAACGACTCGCACTTGTGACAGAAAATAGTATGTGCAACTCGTTCGGAAAAGTTGCCATAGCGCCACTCGGGCGCTTTCCGCACTCGCTTCGCTCGTGTGTCAACTGCGTCCGCGTGTCTCTATTGGCAACTTTTCTCCACTCGTTACACAATGTACTATTAATGTGTCGAATCATGCCTTTAAAAAAAGTGGTCGAAAATTTACCTTGTACATACTTTTATCTTTATAGTTCACGGACTCATTTTCATTCTTGTTTTCAAAAATTTTGTTGTGTATATATTAGGTATATATGTATAGTAAATATACAGGGTGTCCATGAATAACGTGTACAACGGAAGACCACAGATTGGTGGGCTCAATATACGCAGATTTGGGTTAATTCACCTACCTATATCCGACATCGCTTCGTTTAGCCACTAGATGGCCTCAAAGTTGGTGAAAATTTTTTGAATTTTGTAAATAACTCGAATACGTGTTATTCGATATTGATTATTTTTGGAGTGTAGACTTTTGC